AGCATTGATTTTCTCGTATGTGCTGTTTATTTTCATGTTTTTCGTAGAATGGTGTCATCCATATAACAGTGAGTGTTACGCTCCACATGTGTTTTGTTATCATGGTTCTTTTGTTATCATTTGCATTGTGTTCAGGACTCTTATTTCCCTCATTGTTACACTAGAAGTCATTTTCCATATAAATTAGGGTGCTCATATGTATATATATATGGTGACTATTTTTGAAGGAAATCTGTTTTTTCGAAGATTTTTCGATCATGCTTTTGTTGTAGTGGTGATATAACATTAATTATTAGTTTAATCAAATTTATGTTTTGTAGGTACCGTTTTTCTGTTTCATTCTTGGTTTGCATGTTGAGTATGTTTTTGTTGATTCGATTTTTCGCCCATGACTCGTCAATGGATGCAGTACTGCTGAAGACAATTTTTTATGTCAAAGGATAGTTGTATATATATAGCGGGTACCCAGTCTGGCCGACAGCCACAATTCTTTTTGTTATCAAAGTGCTTCCATAATATATCGGAAAGCAGTGATCTTTTTTTACCAGTTATAGTACTCGCCTAGTGCTAACGATCTGTCAAGGATGAGAGGTTTATAATATGTTCGAAACTAAAATAATCAAGTGTCTTCGGAAAATCTGTTGGTATTTACGAACATATTTCTTAAAGACACTTGCTTATTTTAGTTTCAAACATGTTGTAAACCTTTTATCCTTGGCAGATTGTTAGCACTATGTGAGTACTATAACTAGTAAAAGAATTACTGTTATCTGATATCTTATAAAAGCACTTTGATAACAAAAAGAATTGGGGCTTCCGGTCAGACTGGGCACCCCATATATATTAATTTTTAAGGATCAAGAGTTATGTGTATTCGTTTATAAAGATGTTTATTCATATTGTTGTTTTATTTGGTATTACTATATATGCATATATTCCCATTTTGAGTTGTTTTTATGTTCATTTATGTAAATTTTTGTCTTCGGGTGTATCTCGGTACTAATTTTCTATTCATTAAACTTCGTAAAATATCAAAACAAATTTGTAGGCATATGTTTAATGTAGTGGTCCTTGTGTACTGGTATAGATAAGTAAAGCGTTTGTCTTTTGTTTATGCATATGTGAAAGTATATATACTTATCTGAAAATAACCTATTTCTGAGTTAGGTGTCGGAAATGCAATATTTCAGTAATTTTTATGTTCTCGTTCATTTATATCTGGTTTGATAGACCTTGAAAGCTGGTCACGATTAAGTATTTTTTATTTCGATTCGATCACTGTTTGGCTGGAAAAATCGTTCAACACATCAAATGACTAAAACACAGTATTGGTAGCCAAGAAAGGTGTGGGTGATGTCGTGATCTTCTCTTCACCCACATTGATACTCACACATATACTTACACCCTGAACAATTAAGAGAACATTCTAATCAATTACCTCCACATATTTATATGCTTATTCCTTTCGATCATAGAAAACATTAATCAGGGTATGCGTGTAGATATGGATAAAGAGAAAGTCATAATATTATCCACGCACATACACAAACCCAAATATACACGCGAAGTCGGGGACTGGCAGCCAGAGATGCTCACATTGGTTCGATATCCAGTAGATAAATTCTGCTTAATTTGTAAGCATGACAAGCAATCACAAGCCCTGTACAACACCACGCTTTCATGGTCTTTAAACTTCATTTTTTGTGTAAGACATATACTTCAATCATAGTTGTTTCTATATGGATATGTTGTACGCTTTAAACGCTACCTGCCATCGTATTATTAGAACTGGATGCTCAACCTCAACTTTTATACATTTGAAAGAAGCAAACAAAACACGCTAATTCCTCTGCATCAACCATTATAATTTATTATTCATACTACCTTCTATTCATATTCTTTTTTTTACAATTTTTCTATCAATTATACATACCTGAATACAGAATATGAATAGACTCATTCAAATACCAATTCTGATTTTATGTCAGCGAAATTAATGGCTTATTCATCAATATTCATTCAGGTGCACGGATAAATACCTCTGTAAAAAACGAATCAATATTATACATCGTTTGCCAACCTGTATACTCGTAGTCGCAAGATAAATATTTGTCCACGATAGTTATGTCGACAACAACCATACTAATTATTATCGCTTTGATTTGTCTGGCTGGTACGTCTGCCTTGGTCTGTAATATAATGCAGAAGGCTTGTGGTAATCAATGTTTTTCTCCCATTGGTCATCAATGTGTCGATGGACATGTCTGCAAAATTGGACAGAAAGTATGCGGTAATCAATGTTATTATGATGTTGGATTCAACGAATGCATCGAAGGACATCTGTGTAAACTAGGACAGAAAATTTGCAACGGACAATGTTATTATCCTATTGGTCAAAAATGCATAAAGCGGCAATTTCTGATCTGAATAAGAGACCTTGCTACAATATAGTTTAGTAACAACGCTTTCATTATATGCTCTTAAGACACTAAATGCTGTTAGTTTTCCTTCATAGTTCGAGATTTTTTTATAAAATAACAAATAATAACCAATCGATATCGAAGATAACAAAACGAATCGTCAAAGTTGCGATCTGTGAAGCTATCAGATGAAAGAACATAAATGTAGAGTGTGGGTGTGGGTGTCTCGTTGGAATTAATACATACGTCCACCCTCTGATGGGCAAAAGAAAGAAAAGCAATTCGTTCATAATATTTTCAAAGACAAGCTTTATTGATGTTAATGCAAACGAAAAAAAGACAAGAAAATAAAATTTTTTCTGTCAAAAGCAGCCTACATGACAATGGATTTCAGCAGCACATTCTCTAAACATGAGTTAGACTTCAGATATTCATTCAATGATAAAAATCCTTACCATAATCATAATGCAATGCTTGTGTAATACTATGCTACTCATTGACAAGACTTCTTTACATTATTTTTTTTCGAATTTTATGTTTTTGAAATATAACTCGAACATCATTAACATCTTCAATCAAATAACATTTTTCATTCTTTTACGATCAGGTACACACATAATGTGTGAATTAACCTATCTAAACATATTCATACGAAGCAAAAGAATAAGACGCAAGAACTACGAATGTAGAAGAAAATGGATCACTTTGACACATACATAGAAAACAAAAGGCTTGTACTGTTTTTGATGTGAACTATTTTTGATTCTCTTCAATGACTTATAAATTCTTCATAGTTAAACAAACTTACTGTGCAAAAAATTTTTATACAAATGTCAAGATAATTTTGAGTTATTTGAGTGAAGAAATTCAGCGAAATTCGATGTGATATATATTTTTATTACCTAGAAGAAATTAAAATGATATTCTTGAAAAAAATTGATTTTTACTAGAAATTTTTAATAGGAAAACTCTTTTAAAACGCAACATGCCGCTTTTTCAATTTTTAACTCAAACAATAAACAAGGAAACGATATGACATTTTCTTAGTTTTTCCTGTATTTATTTGCGATAAGTTTGAAAAAATCTCTATCCCAGCTCGTGTGTATTCATTTCATTTAAATACATTATTGTTTGCACTATGACTCAAATCATATCACATTAAAGTTGGAATAATCGATGTATTTTACGTTCATTTTTTTTCTTTTTTAAAAGATGACGTACATACTCAAGCACTTACAAATTTAGGACGCGATACAGAACGTCCTGTTTCAAGTTTTAGAGACTGTATGTAATATTAATGAAATGGCAATTTTATATTTGTACATGCAAGCGAATGTAGCTTATCTCAAACATCATTCGATTTGATTTGGTCGTATTCTGTATTTTATAAGGATGGTATATTCACTTTTATTTACTTTTCTACATCTTTTCGTGTTGAGTGATTTTCAAAGTAATTTGGTACATTCGATCAGACCTTTTGTTCCCAAGTTATAGGTCTTGACTTGACGTATAGGATGTCCAGTAAGTCACGAAGGAAGAAAAAGAAAATCGAATGTCTCCGCCATATTTTGACTAAATAGGCTGATATTTTTACTACTGATAGAGGACTGCTCACAGGTCATATTTATAAGTGAAGCGTTGTCAAAAGCTGCTTTGAAGTATCACAACTGGCTTCAACAAAGAAATGTAACCTTTCACGAGTTATGAGAAACTAACACCACAAGCAACGTTCATTGACATTGAATGTCCATTCGCTTGGCCCTAGACTGACGGAATGATGACAATGATGTTCTTATATTTTTAAATAAAAATGAATTCTGTATCATGATGAGTTTAGGAGAAATTATTGATCTTTGTAACATGTTCTATATTACATACTATAGATATATACAAATACTTCAGATAAAATATTGAAAGATGCTAATGTATATGATAAAGTTTATGCTTTAATTAATCATAGCGACTAAAAATTGTGATCTATGCCAAAGTAATGGCCGTTTGTAATACGGGAATGACCAATTGCGACACAGACATGCTCATTTGAGCCATAAGAATGGTCAACTGTGCCACAGAAATTGTTGAATTTGCCGTGGAAATGGCGAACTGAACCATAGAAACGGTCATTTGTATAATGAAAATGGCCAATTGTGTCAAATAAATGGTCGCATGTACCACCAAAGTGGTACTTTTGTACCATAGAAATGGTCACTTGTACCACGACTATGCTAATTTGTACCACCAAAATGGTGACTTGTGCCACAAGCATGGTACTTTGTACCACAAAAATGGTCATTTGTACCAAGTGCTACAGACAGACAGACACAGATGAATTTCCGTTTCTAGACCCTAGCCTTTCAGTCTAGGGAACAGTTTTCTCAACAAACTTGTTGTTGTTTACGGCTGAAACTTGCAGCGTACACTGAATAACAAAACATGTGGCTGTGGAATAAATAATAGACCAAATAACACTAGTGAGCAGAATTAATCGAAAACATTTGGAAATAAATATATATTGTTTTGCATAGTCGGTGAAATGTAATAGTTCCTTGCTAAAGCCAGTTGTGATACTTTAAAACAGTTTTTGACAACGCTTCACTTACGAATATGATCTGTGAACACTTCTCTATCAGTAGTAAAAAAATCAATCCATTTGGTCAAAATATGACGAAGATATTCGATTTCTTCTTGTATCGGGACTTACTGGATATCCTATATAATTAAAAAAAATATTTCTCATAAGTGCAAAAAAGAAAACAAATTCTATTGCTACTTTAGATCGTTTCATTAGTGTACTAAGAATTTATTTCATAGTGAAAAGAAAGACTTCTAATGATAACGATATTACGTAATTGTTTCAAACACAATGACACTATCTTTACTAACACTAATACCAGAAACATGAAAGGTGTGGGTGGGTGTGGCTGTGGGTGTTGTTGAATAAGAGAAGTGTAGTCACACGTATACTCCACTTACCATACATACACCTCATCCAAATAATTAGCTATTTCTAAAATCAATGCATTCATAAAATGATGCAAGGTACCTAAAAAACAAAACTTCAATATGCCAATGGAAAAAAAAGCAATCTACGAATTGAAAAACATGAACACGAAGAATATAATTATAATATCTGGAGACAAAGGAGAAAACGGAATAGTAATAAACAGACAAGAATATATAAATAAGATCGAAGAAAGATTAAACAGCAACGATATTTATGAAGAAGTAACAAATCCCAACAACATAATCAAGACAAAATAACAACAATAGCCAATAGATTATTTTGATCGAATCGAATTAGTCAGAGTGTGTAAAAAGAATCTTCGTCTATTGACGATCTTCGAAGAATAAGAGGACAATCTAAAATACGTAAATACGATTGTCCAGTGTGATTAGTGAAAAATACGATTCTTTCACCTGTATCCAGATACGCATTCTAATTCAATCAACAATTAAGAAGAACAATCCGAATTTCAATATATAACTCGTCAGAATTCCTCCATGGAAACTCTAAAACCAAAATAGACCAAGATGAACAACATTTATTTACGAGCATACCTGTAACAAGAGCTATTGATATTGTACTAAATAGAATAGGTAATTACGAAAATTTCTGTGCATTAAATTTAACTAAAATAGACCTAAAACAAATACTATTATTGTCATTAAATAATAATTATGGCCTGTTTAATGGGAAATATTATAGAAAAATAACAAACTTTACCCATGGGTAATACTTTATCACTCATTCTAGTTGATGTTTACATGGATGGATACATAAAGAAAGATCTGGAACAGATGAATGTACCTTTTAAATTCTTCAGATATGTCAATGGCATTCAAGATAATCACAATGAATGAAGAACAAACTGAATCATATATTGAAGATCTTAATAAAATCACAAATAAAATTAGATTCACTCATGAATATGAAAGAAATAATATCATTAACATTCTCGATACAACATTTAAAAAAAAACAATGATATACGATTAGTATTAAATGATATAGAAAACACATCATCCGATATTTTATTGAATTACTATTCAAATCGTGAACAATCTATTAAAATTAATATTATTTAAAACATGGCATCCTAAATAATCAAGAGAACAAATAATAATATTAATCAGCAAGATAACTTAAGTAAACACTAAGCCAGTCTTATCAAGTCAAAGTACCCAACACATATCAATGATAAATATATATTAAAATAACCATGAAATTCGTTACAACTACATCAAATAAAATGAAATACAAAGAAAAAATGATAAAATAAACGAAATGAAATATTGAAGTACCGTAGCATTTGCATATGGAATAGGCGTAATAAAACGGAAATTAGAACAATCAAACATTAAAATATCTCTCTTCTAACCTAATTAGCTTCAAGCAGCACTTATGAACCTAATAAAACAAAAATCCAGATTAAATATTCATCAAGTAGAATGCAAGTGTGGAGCAATTTATAACGAAGCAATAAAACTTTCTTTAAATGAACGAATTATTAAAAACAACGCTATTAAATTTTGTTCGGAGATTGTACAACATCATCAATATAATATATATCAATGCACACTTGATTTGAATAAAGCATATGTCATGAATGATGGTATTGGTTGGAGAAAACGACGAATCAAAGAATCAATTTATTCCACTATCAACAAGTTGTTAAATCGCCACGATCACATTACTACATCATGGCTCCTCCAACTATATGAACGATCTGCAATAATAAAAAGAACCATAAAAAAGAAATGAAGAAGAAATTTATTCATCATTAGAATACAAAATCGCGATAGTGGGACGGAGAGGGAAGATAAGTGATACATGTTTCTGAAAGATGGAGTTTAGGAGTATGATTGGCCATCCATAATATGAGAACGGGCTATATAACTGTGGGAAGCTTCAAATTTTAGATACACAATAGAATATTTCCAGGGATAGTCAACCACTAAAACATCAGGCTTTTTCGCCCTTCATACTTTATAGAGCTCTCTTCGCTGATCA